ACTTTTGAACCAAAGCTCTGATTTGTTACGGTTAGGGTTAGGGTTAGGGTTAGGGTTAGGGTTAGGTTTAGGGTTAGGTTAAGGGTTAGGATTAGGTTTAGCGTTAGGTTAAGGGTTAGGTTTAGGGTTAGGTTAAGTGTTAGGTTTAGGGTTAGGTTTAGGATTAGGTTTAGGGGGTTAGGTTTAGGGGTTAATTTTAGCTTTAGCGTTTACAGCGTGCTTTTTTCGTCACGCTGTGATGACGTCACCTACGCGGTTTCGTCGAGCGCACTTTAGTCGAACGCGGTTTTGTGGTGGAACCGCTGCAACTGGTTGTAAGGACTGGCTGTACGTCATTTTTTTCAGTGCCATCGTAACTTCAAAAAGTCGCTAAACAAATGGTTATAGAAGTGGAAGACTACCTGTTCCCTTCTCCGTCCTCCTTTTATTTTAGTTTTATTTTGTTTCTCCTTCCTTGAGTCAGAATAATAGAGAGCGCTTTATTGCGCCATTTTGAAATCTGCAGAACTGATTCCGGTGGCAAAATTTACGTTCCCTGGGCAATTTCCCTTCTTCAATTGGATCCATTCAATGGCTTATGGAACCCAAGACTGACTTCTTGGGTGCAATGTTTTCGGTGCCTAAGAAAAACCAGTAAAATAAAACAGACAGGAACCAACTTGTTGGAGAGAGAATAGCCAAACTGGAGGGAGGAGTCAAGTGGGGAATTAGCCTGGAATCTTCACATAGGCACAAAAGGGCAAGGCCTGACTTTCCCTTTAAATGCCATTGAATTTTAACTTGTCTAGCTCAGAGTCAAATTGCCAGTCTGGGAAGGTTCCTGGGAAATGGCCATAAGCAATAAAGTAGCTACCGTATTTTTTGGAGTATAAGAGACACCTTTTCCCCTCAAAAAAGAGAGTAAAAATCTGGGTGCATCTTATATATTGAATACAGCATTTTTTGTCTCCCCAAAACCCTGCCTCCTTTGCAAAAATGGCCATCCAGAGCCTTTAGGGGGCTTCGAGAATGTTCCTGGGAGCTGGGGAGGGCAAAAATGAGCAAAAAATGGGCCATTTTTTGCTTGTTTTTGCCCCCCAGCCCCTAGAAGCACTCTATAAGCCTCTTAAAGACTATGCATGCCCGTTTTGAAAAAAAAAAAAAAACGGGCCCGCAGATTGCAAAAACTTTTTTTTATATTTGCCTCATCAAAATCTTGTTGTGCGTCTTATACTATGAAAAATACGGTAGTTGAATTCTTCACATGTGGATCTGGTTGTTCATGTCTGACACACCTTGCTGGCTGATTCTCATGATTGTTTTGTCTTTTTTTAAAAATAGGGACCCCTGTGGCCTTTGTGGTACCCTGGATGGCTGCCAAATACTTGAAGGAAAACACAGAGTGAGTCTGGGGATGCTGGATGGGAACCAATTTTCAGCAATGTTTTTTGGCAGAAGCTCATGTAGATGGTAGGCCTTAATAACAATACAAAATATCACTGTTGTGGCCCACCAGCGGCCAGTGGAGTTGGCAGCAGAATCAGACAGTGAGGAGGGTTGGGGAGGAACCTGGGCCAGTCCTGGAGTCTGGGGAAGGCTCTGATGAGG